GTGGATTTACTTCAGATTGATACAGAGAAACTGAGTTTTTGTCATATCAAATTTCACTTTTTTCTCTTTATTCTGTTACTTTTTTTTTCCAGGTACATATTTAACCCATGAGCAAATCCATCAAAACTTTATATTTATTTATTGATAAATCTCTGTCGTTCACATATATTAACTGTTTCCTTATCTATCACTACAAATAAAACTATTGAACAATGTTATTCTGTATCTCATCACTTTTTTAATCTAATTTTTTAAAAATATTTTCTCCATCTATATATGATAACTCATTTTCCTACATGCATGCATGCGCAATGACTTTTTTAGTTACAGTATCAGTGGCAAGCAAATCTTGGGAAAGTCCAGGAGTAATTTCAATATCCACTATATCCCAAAAGTTTGCCAGTTTTCCCTAGGCTTCTCACTCATCACTGGTTGCCAAAATGCCCTTTGCTATTTAGAACTAACTCTCTACGAGTGCTCTTTTATGTAACGTAAGGCCAACTGCACCACTACTATTTTATAAGGGAAATGACCCTGAATCTTCAGATATTGACATAATCTCTCCCTGGCTGTCTACGTATTCTTTCTCAAGAGTTATCCCTTTATACAGATGTTTGGTTTTCGCATAAGTAAACCATTTTACATATAAAATATGTAAAAAACCATTTTACATATAAAATATGTAAAATGTAGCTTTATTTGAAAACTTTTAAAATGTTCTTTTTTTTTCCCAGCATAGACAAGACAATGCTCCTGTCTATTTCTTTATCATTTTACATGTTTATTCTTTGATATATCCAATTAGAAATATTATTCAAATAATAATAAAAATGTTTTGTCTATATTCTCTTTAAAAAAGTAAATGAATAAAAAATACACAATTAATTGTTCAGCTAACTCCTTCAAGTTTATTTTTCTTTATATTTTATTTCTCTGTCTTTGCCTCATCTTTGCTCTCTGTCTTCTCAGTGTACTTTACCTGAGGCAATAACAATTTTCCCTTCTCATTACAGCTATATCTGTTACCTTCACATTAGCATTTCTTGAAAAATATCTAATGCTTCCTCTTGTACTGCATCAAAGACTATCCTGTCTTTTAACTGGTAATTTGTTCTCTAGATCATATGTCCTTTTACCCCTGAGGAACAGTGATTTGAAAAGCCCAAGATTGCTGCATAATTAGACTATACAAAGTGTCCAATATCCTACCTACTTAACAGTGATCTAAGACAGGAAGACCTTACGATGCACTTGTGCTTCATACATTCTGCTTGTTGAGGATTGATCATACTGTTTTTGTTTGGCCTCATTAAAGTCCAGTTTCTTCCATATCCCCAGTACATTTCATTATAGATTCTTCACATACAACTTCTGCAAAGTCTGGTCATCATCTCCATGTTGATAAGCATGTTTTGATTTTGATTTTAATGGCAGCTTTGGGCATATTTAAGTTCTATCTGGAGCTCCCATTAAAAAAGAAATTCACAACAATAGAGGAAAATGATGGTGCACATGCCCTATATATTCCATAAGTAAATACTTGGACTGCGCCCTCTTTTTTCTTATGAACGTGTTACTGGACAAAATGTCTTCTTTAATGGTGGAATGTACTGTTTTGTACTCCTCTGTTGAGAGATCTGTTGCATCCCTACCTTGCATCTTCCCTTACAGAAAGGCACTAAGCGGATAGAACGGCTCTCAGAAACCAGTGATTCTTCCGAGAATCATCTCTATAACCTTAAGGGACTACTGAATTTCTGACATTTTGTCAATTCACAGATATATTTTAACATGAATGATACCTACTTCAATAGTTAAAATAGTGTTTTGCTCACTCACGTTGTTGGCTTTCTGTGATACCTCCAATCTCAACAAAGATAAAAAGCCTCTAATTCCATCCTCTGGTTTTGCTTTTGGTGAATAAGCAGAGGATTACTCTCTTAGCAGGAAAGGACTATGTTTATACGCATCTCTGTGTTTAAGTATACAAAGTTTGCACAAAACTTTCTGCTACACTAAGTGAATGCTACAAATTTTCCTCTGCATTTGTCCAAGTGCCAGATGATTTCTGCTCTAGATACCGTGGTTCTTCATCCTCAATTACTGAAGGCTATATTTATGCTGCTAGGTAATAAGTACCAGATGCAATACATGGATCAACAGGATATATATAATCTATAAAATGCATAAAAAAGGATCAAATAATATAATCTAATACTATAACTAGTTTGCTTCTTAATCATTAAAAGTTTGCTAGACTAAAACGTTTGCTTCTTAATCATTAAAAAAGGAAATTACTGATAGCCAAGTAATTTTGATACCCAAGTAAAAACTGTACATGAGAATGTTCTATGAAAGTAATACATGAAAACATTGGAAAGCGTCTGTCAAGCTGTGTGTGCAGAGACAAGCCGTATTTTGTCATTTCCTCATTTTTGCACAGTTGACTGAACAGCCTTACTAATGTTCTTACTGTATCATTCCTCGGCCTTTAGAAAAGACAAGCCATCCTCACGGACTTGTCTTGTGGCAAGTATCATCGCTCACAGGGCTCAACAGAAGCGCTGAAACCTCTGTTTCCCTGATGAGATGTCTGTGTGATGATAAGGTTTGGTTTTATTTTATTTTATTTTATTTTATTTTATTTTATTTTGTTTTGTTTTGTTTTGTTTTGTTTTGTTTTTAAGTGATTTCACACTTGCTCATTGGTAAGAGAGGGCAGAGAGAAGAGCAAGACGCCTCCGGCTCCAAAAGGCATATATATATCATAATGATTATTTTGCTCCCCCCCCGCCAGTCCAGGCACTAAGTGCTTTCCAATCCTACCTCTTCCAGGCTGATCTGGGCCCAACATGCTCTCTTTCTGATTCCTTAGCCTAAGTCCCATCTTTCTTTCTGCCATGCTTTTGCTCTTCTATCACAGTCTTCTCCTACCGACTGTTTTCTGTCTCATCTTCACTCCAGCTCTGGCTTGAAGTTTGCATTTAATTCCTTCCTCTTTCCCTCATGGTTTTAGGCCTGGGCTTCTTGACAAATTTTAGGGTTTGTTCTTTGCTGAGCCGGTGTCAGCAACAAGAAAGATGAGGCCCATCCTCCTTATGCTAATCCCAGTGCCCGAGAGAATGGCAGTGACTAGGTGTTCTCGGCTCCAGGGGTACGTCCTCTCTGTGGGCAGGGCACATGCTCAAATCCAGATGTACATAATTAGCCACATTCAAGCACAGCCTAAGAAACTAAACACTAGCAATGCTGGAGATGGTTATTTTTTACCCAAGCTACAGGGAACCAAGGAGACTGAGTTTTTATACTTGCATTGCAATTGACACATCTACTAAGTCTACTCATCATCTACTGATATATTTTTGTATCATTATGAAAAACACCTGCTCGTGTTAAAAAAGCAACCTCTACTTTGGAAAATCACCTCATTGCAAACATTAAATGCCACCTCTTCCAGGAAGTTTTAGATATCACTTATGAAAGGCTAAGCTGAGGCAAAGGTACCTGAGCTGATCTAATAATTTAAATACTCCATTTAAACACGAACAATTTAAATACTATTCTCTAAAGAATCTGCAAAAGTTTTTCTAACATATACATGTGACATATACATGTGTAATGTACAGATGTATATGCACATGTTATGTATATGTTGTAGAGAATTATATATATATACACATATTTATATAGTAAATGATCACAGATTAGGCTTTACAGCGCTGGATAAACTGCAGCAGTAGAATGAGTGTATATAAAACACAAAGTTGTTACTGCTGCTTTGTACCCTTTCTTAAAGTGAGCAAATTAACCTTTGAGCATAGATACTAATATTCTACTTATAACAAAATAATTTTCTAAGTAATCGAGGAATGTATTCAAATATTTTGAAGCAAGAGAAAACAATGAGTAAATATCACGCTTGAATGATATGAAGAATATTCCAGAGATGTACAGCATTGCATTTAGTAACTCCCACTTACCATCCACACAGGGAAATTTACAATTTACAGTATTGTACCTAACTAATCTTGATGAATCCACAACCAATTAGATAATTGAGCACTTATAATAATGTAGTAAATGAACATGCTTGTTACTGATCTATAAATAGCTGAACATAGCATAGTTCTAAAAGCTACTTTTAAAGTTGATGTAATCATAAGCAATCATGAGCTGTTCATGATCATAAGTAGCCTATCACTTCAAAAAGAAATATAAATTCAGACTCTTCCTTTTCCTAATGCCTGTACACTTAGGAATATTGTGTGGTAATACATAAACATCTGTTTTTCTTTTGCCTCCATTTAATTAATGCTGTGGAATATCCTTCTTTTATTATTTGTATACATTTCACCACTTTTCTATTTCTGCTCAAAAGGCTAGAGCTAGTAGGGATCTGCTGACCTATGGCATGTCTACCAGGTTGATATGGTCCTGGTTTTCTGCAGCATTTTCCTTCTGAAAGGCTGTGAAAATGTGGAACAAGAAGTTCCTTCACTATCAGAGCTCCTCCAAGCCACTTCAGTGTTGATTCCAAGATGCCGAAACCTCTATCCAGAAAGCTGCTGTCCTCTGTACTTTCTTTTGGGCTCTGATCTTTCTCTTTCTTTAAACTCCTTCAGGGCAAATCAGTCCTGGCTCTCCTACTCTCTAAGCCGGCTCCATATCTACAGTACACCTACACCTATGGGGCTTTATGTGACATTTAAGTTTATATGCTACAATTTCTGCCCATGTCAGACTCATGAAAACAGTCTGCAAAAGGACACAACAACAGTCAAAGCAAGCCAAGATTACAATGAACATGGGCTTTCATATATATATTCTTCTAAGCCCCAAATAGCTTGCTATCAGGCTACCTTCATGTCTACTAAAGCAGCTCACAATTTGGAATCAATTATTTTCCTGCATTTAACATGCAAACCTGGGGAAAACATGAATAAAAGAGATGCAGAGACAGATCAAGGAATACGATCAGAGAGTAAGAAGAAAGGACTCACCTCCTTCAGTCACTTCTCCATTTTAATTTGTTTCAATGCTTAAAAGGGAAGAGATTTTTGCACACTCTTTAATTCAGATGTCAGTTGCAATATTCGATGCTTGACTTTTCTGAAATATAATCAAAGTGTTACAGTTAAAACTACTATTCCAAAACTAGATAAAATTAATAACATCTCAAGCAGCTACTTGATCGCCAATTACAACAGTGTTGAGGGGTTTTTGTACCAAATCTCTGAGCAAAGTTTCCACACGGTACCTCCCCATACCTCCTCTCCTGCTTCCATGAAAACACACGAATGAGAGTACTTGGAATTTATAATGCTGCATTTGTGGTGCTATCTAAAACTACTGTAGTTCTATCTAAAACTACTATTCCTGAACAACATATGAACAAAGTTAGCCAGTTCTTTAACAAAATCAGTACAAGTCTTCGCCCCAGTAACCTACCAACTCTGTAAACTCCCTTCTCCTGCAGCCTCCTCATACTACCAACTTTCCTGCATCGCACATGCAGCATGCAGTGCAATCCCCTCTGTACAGAAAAGCAACAGAGCTAAGGCAAGGGACCTTGACCAACAACAAAGCAGCAGAATTTAGCCATTGCCACAGCACTTCCTCACCAGCCTCTCATGGATGGCTGAAAAAACTGCAATAGCCAATCACTGCACATTTATGTATACAAAAACTGCACATTTATGTATACAAAATGTAAACATGATACAAACTGAAAATACTTATCTCCAAGCCTTTTGTTTCTCTGATAAGCACTTTTCTTTCTTTCAATCTGTTACCGATACCTATTTTTTTGCCTTATTTCCCCAATACTACTTATGAAACTTACAGAAATAAATGTCTTTCTTCTGTGCTCTATATTTAAGTTCTGAGTCATCATACTATTTTAAGTTCTGTTTCTCATTCCTTAAAGGTTTATCTATTTTTTTTTCAAAAAACTTTGTAACAATTCCTACGCATACATGAACAATTCGTAAGCACAAAACACCACCAACTTTTAATGTGAAAATGCAGTTTACAATATCAGACAATTTTTTATTTGTTCTGAAAAGCAAGTTAAAAGATAGAGGAAAAAATCTTTCTTGCATGTGGCTTTCATACTAAGGTATAATCAGTACAAAAATCTCTTCAAAAGGTTGGAAACTACTGAGCTCTTTTACTGTCTTGAATCTCACTCAAAGAAATATCCACAATTGATTAATGGACAGTGTTTGGCAGAATAGCAAGAAAACTATTTCAGAGGCTAAATAACCCAACAATATTACAAAATCATGATTATAGGGTCAGAAGAGACCAAAGATCAATCTGATGCTTCCCTTCACACAGATCAGAGAACTTCCTTAAATGAAATCCTTCAGAAATGGATTTCTGAAGGAATTTTCGCGTGTCTACGAAAGGCATCAAGCACTGAACTGAAGTTCTCCCAAATAGCTACAAAGAGGATGGAAACAGCTTCTATAGAAAAGTTTACTTCTGGGAATACTTTTACACCAAGTGGATTCAAAACAATGCAGGCTTACTGTCTTTTTGTTTACCATAAAACCTATTTCCAAAATTTCAAACGTCATATCAGACTTTGTTATTAATGCCAAAATACACATTCCACTCATTTTCCAAAGATAACATTTTGTTATCCACTTTTGAGGACATACCTCTTTCTTGAGGTATACAATCAGCTTCAGAGTACTACTTTTTAACGCTAAAAATATTTCTTGCTGTACAGTCTCTTTTCATTTTCTGTTTATGCAGGCTTTTATGTCAAAGTGGGGAGGAAAAGAAGCTTAAAGCGGGTAAAGTTAGAGGTAAAATGAGAAAGATTGTTAGGAAGATCAAGAAAGAGGTCTAGAACCAGAAAATACTTTTTAAACATTTTGGAAACACTAATTTGCAGCTGACAAGTCCTTTTGGGTAAGGGTTATAATTTGACTACAGTATTGACCACATCATAGTAATTTGGGGTTTTCCACAAGAGTATAAGAATGATGGAGTATATTTAATTGTAGCAAGTAAACGGGATTGATTTTTCCATCTAAGGTCCCCTTTGGGAGCTTTCAAAGATAGTTTCCTAAAGTATCAAGTTAGGCAGGTGGTTATGCAAAACCTTCCCTTTTAAAGACTTCTGCAAAGCCACTAAACTTGTTTGAAGACAGTCACATGTCACTCAGCTTGAGAGCACTGCTGATACGGGGCTTAACCAGGTTGCTCTTAGTTGAACTTGTTTTACCCAGAGAAATGGATTTATAATGGAGCAGACAGGTTTAGTGATGACAGAGAAAGAGATTGGGGTCGAAAATAAAAAATATCACCCACATCACACTGTGTGATCACATAGTAAGCCACTGCCTGAAATAAATAAGAGCAAGTTTCTACAAACATAAATACATTCAGAGATAGTAACAGATCTGTGTACTTCAAATTCTCTAATATGGGAAGCATTGCACAAGCCAAGGGCCCAAACTGAATCAGCATCATTTTAATAGTTTTAAAATTTAATTCTTCAGGACTTTGTTATTGATATTCGTATTTGTAAATACTTGTTTGTTTCTTTGTTCACCTTCTTCAACTTTGTTTCTATCTGAGAAATATAACCACAAAAGGCCTTGGTGATGATGGAAGATACAGAATGATTCTTGTATAAGTGACAAATGAGCAGGTCAGGTCTCTTTGGTCTAGAAAAGAGACAACTGACACATGGAGGTCTATAAAATCATGAGTAGCATGGCAAGGTTAATAAGTCTATATTGGTCATTACCTCTTCCAAGGCAAAGCTAGAAGGTATCAATTAAGTTAGGAAGAACCACATTCATAAGAGAGTGAGAAAACAAAACAAAACCACATCTGCAATTTGTAGGTAAGGTGTGGATCTCCTTGCCATTGGATGTTGCGGATATTGAATCCCACATCCAAGAGAAGGCTGGGCAAATGTGTGAAAATTAAGTCCCTCTGAAATTAAGGATGTACGGAAAGATGCAGCTTAGAAAGAACCTTAGCTCTGGTGCCTACAATCACTGTGTGTCTGTCATGCCCTTATATCTTTTGGTCTATGATATACGGTTAGAATTAGGATATGAGACAAATGGACCTTCGACCTTGACGTTTCAGTCATTTTTGTGTTCTTTCAATGGCACAGCTACCAAGGTATCCGAACTGACCTCCCCATCTGACAAACAGGAAAAAGTCTCATAAAATAGAAGGTGAGTAGGAATAAAACATTCCCTAAAAAAAGACATTTTTAGGTTGATATGTCTACAAATTTTTGCATAATGTTTTACTGAAGTAAATGTAATGTTTTAATGAAGTACAGAAGTTCAAAGCATCATCTGATCATCTGATGATCTTTGATTAGATTGAAATTGGCATTTTTTTTCATGAAAGAATGGGACATTGAGAAATGACTTTCACTCACAGAAAACCTGGAACTGTTTCACAGTCTTCACCATAGCAGGAATCATACTTGTTTTACAACCTCGAGTTTGTAAAGTCAGCACACAACAGTGACCCAATTTTTTATCCTATCTATTCAGCTACTGTTCACCAGATCATTTATAGCACAGAGATTGCCTAAAATCCAGATCATTTATAGCACAGAGCAGTGGAACAGGCTGCCCAGGGAGGTTGTGGAGTCTCCTACTCTGGAGGTCTTCAAAACCCGCCTGGATGCCACCCTGTGCCACATGCTCTAGGTGTGCCTGCTTGAGCAGGAAGGTGGGACTAGATGATCTGTAGAGGTCCCTTCCAACCTTAAATATTCTGTGAATCTGTGAATCTGTGAAAATCAGTGTTTAGGTGACAAATAGTCACCATGTGGTTCCATCCAGATTCTGGACACTTGGAGAAGAAGAGGATGACATCCTTTTCTTTTTTCAACACACAGGGGAACAACATACTATGTAACCTCATCTAATTTTGACAGTGGTACTGCCTGAGCAGAGGTTTTAAGCTCGATGGCCCCCTGTGGCTCCTCCTAACCTAAACCATTCCATGATTCTGCAATTCTGAGGAGCAGGCTCTAGCCACTGCTGCATCACTTCTGTGCAGAATATTGATTCACAGTACTATCCTTAACACAGTATTATCATCAACTAGGCTTCAGTGAAAAAGCAAACTGAAAAAAAGGAAAAAGAGGGGTAGGTCTTCTGTTATTCTGGGTCTATTCTGTTAGACAGCAAGTTGCTTTTCTGAATGTAGGATGCATCCCTACAGTCCTGGGATTCTGCTTTTGTGCCATTTTGAATTAACAAAGACATCCTGTAAAAGAGAAAGATGAAATTTGTACTTTATTATTTTTATTAATCAATAGCATTTCATAATGAAAGTGAACGATTCCATCTTTCAGTAGGGAAAATGAGGAAACCAGTTAACTACATCAGCCCAAAGCTGTTACATTACAAATACATAACTAGACAGGTCTCTAAATACCTATCTTTATAAAGAGGGTTTCAAGAATGGCCAACAGCATCCTGAGATGTTCAGAAGAGCTGTCTTTCAGAACAAAACTTAGTGCATATCAAGTTGCCAGCATCAACATTTTTTTACCTTTTTGTTGCTGGATAGAAACTTCAGATAAGCACTACCCAAAATAGAGCCAAAGAGCAAAAATCACAGAAACAAGGACCACATAGTAACTACTGATGAATGAGCTTCTAAAATTTTAATTAGCACTGTAGCAGTGTGGTATTGATGGGAACACCATAAAGCTCAAACATAACATAACATAAATGAGCTCAAAACTCAACCTTATAAAGCCACAATAGCAATATTGCACTCACTTATTCCATTTCATTAGCAAAACTAACAGTCTCCCTCACACAATTAAAAATCATGCAGGGTACTAAGCCACAGTAAATTACAAATATAATTAAGTAAATAATACGAAAGCCCAAGTCCCTGCTTAAATACAGTACCAGTTCAGCTAATCCAAGTACAGCAAATATTAATGTAATACTTCAATGTCTACAGCTCAGCTACTGATGTACAGTCATAATAATGCATTAAGATTTTGTCCTTAGCCAGAGCAAACCATTTTTTTCCCCAGGACAACTGGAGCACTGAGTTATCAATACTAAGCTGCTCATATCTTTTGCCTTCCTACTACA